CTCAAATAACCACCCGTTACAACCAAGGTAGGCAGAAGAGCATCTCTGAACGCACAGTACGTCGAACTTTGAGGCCTTTTGTTAGAAAGACTCCTCTGACTGACTGAGGCATGACTTCTGTAGGATGATTAATAAGTCCTGCTTCAGAGGTTTTCTTCCCTGATCTGTCGGTGGATGCTCAACATTCCTGACTAAGATTTGCAGTTTCTGGTGCGATTGCATGAAGCAGTTTTGACTTTATTTAAGAGCTTTTCAACATTGCTTTCCATTAAAACAACAAAAAAGGATTTAGTAGTAACCCTGTGTGTAAATCAAGCCCATCTGTAAGGCTTATTTACTTCCTTTTCATCTTTTACTACTGTCAGAGGAAAATATAAATTTGCCCTCCTGCCTTGATGCAGGAGACTGAAGCATCAAAGCCAGACCAACCAAGCTGAAGAACAGCTTCTTTCCAGATGCGATCAGGCTCATGAACTCTCATAAACCACTTGTATGGACTGATCTAACATGCTGCTCTTAGTTTTTTCATTATTTTTTGAGGTGTGTGTTTGTAAAAGTATTAGATGGGAGTAGGATGTCAATTTATTTTGCCTTGTTTAAAATATAAACATATATTTTTATTTTGTTCCTTTATTACTGATTACGGAGACCATCTGTGTAATCATCTGGAACAACAATAAAACTACGTAAATTCTCCTGTAAAGCCTTGAAAAACGGATTATACTCAAAAGAAGCTAACTGTACTTGATGGTCTTTTCTTATAATCCAGGTTTTCTGGCTCTTTCCTCTTTCAGACACTGTAATTTAAAGACATAAACGGGAACACTGCAGCAACTTTCTTTAACGAGTCTTTAAACACACCTCACCCAGATGGAACAAAAACCATGTTTGGTTTGAGGAAGAACTGGATGTTCTGAGCAAGACTGTCATAAAATACTCTGAATGAAACGCATTAAAAAGCACGTAAATATCTTCTGATCTGCTCCATGAAGTGCACTCGGAAAGAAACAATACATTTTCTTTCTTCCTCTAATCAATGGAAGAGAAGCTTGACATTTCTTCTATGGATAAAGTGAAGTTTCATATAGTTTGATGCAGATAAGGGCTAGTCTTTCTTTCTTTCTTTCTTTATTAATCTATGGATAAAGTGAAGTTTCATATAGTTTGGTGCAGATAAGGGCTAGTCTCTTTTTTTTCTTGTTTATTTTTTTAATCTATGGATAAAGTGACGTTTCATATAGTTTGATGCAGATAAGGGCTAGTCTCTATTTATTTATTTATATTTTTATTTATTTTTTATGTTTTTTTTCTATGGATAAAGTGAAGTTCCATATAGTTTAATGCAGATATGGGCTAGTCTCTTTATTTATTTTTATTATAATTTTTTTTATCTGTGGATAAAGTGACGTTTCATTTAGTTTGATGAAGATAAGGGCTAGTCTCTTTTTTATTTATTTATTTATATCTATGGATAAAGGGAAGTTTCATATATGGGCTAGTCTCTTTATTTATTTATTTATTTTTTATCTGTGGATAAAGTGACGTTTCATATAGTTTGATGCAGATAAGGGCTAGTCTCAAGCAGGAACTTGAAGTCTCTCTACCTTTATTGGCTCGTTGCTCGTCTCTCTCCAGACAGCAGGTTGAGCAGCTGTGCTGGGGGCAGCAGAATCCTCCTCCGGAGCTGCTGGTGGTCCCCGGGAGTTTCCGAACGCACTCCTCGTGATAATAACAACCACATCCAGACGCTGAGCAGCGGGTCACGTCTCGACCCGCCGATTTACAGCTAAAACAAGGATGACTGCCTGAAGAAAGGAACAAGAGTTTGTCACAGTGAAAGAAAAAGAAAAGGAGTGGAAAAATTAAAATTATAAAAGTTCTTACCATTTCTACATTCCGTGCAGATGAATCGGCCTTCAGGTGGAGACGACAGACCGAGACAGTCCAGGTGGAACTGCCTGCTGCAGTCCCCCTCACACACCACTAAACCCTCTCCGTACGCCTCACAGATCTATGTGAACAGAAACAATCGTCACACAGTTTGTGTCTGCGTGCTTACGGACGGACAGAGAGAGAAACCCTGAGCAGCACCGACCTGGCACACRGTGTCTGTCTTCTCGGTGCTGCTGTCCTGCCGGGACAAACCGGAGTCCACAGACTGAGTATCTGAGGCGTCAGCATCTGCTGCTGCTGGACTGTCCAGACTCTTCCCAAATAAACCCTGGAGATTTTATAAGTTGCATTATTATAGACTTGGGGTTTGTTAAAATAAATGTATTTTTTACTTAATAGATGTTTAAAGTGACAAGTTTTGCTTAAAAGTGAAAAAATGTGAAAAGATAAGCAGAGATTTATATGTTTTTCTGTATCATAAGCTTCGAAAGCAAAGCAAAGACAGCTTGACGCTATTTGTTATAGGATCAAGACATTTTGTTTGCAGCATCATCCTTTTTGTGTCTCTGTGTTTGAAGCCCACCTGTGGGTCGTTGAGGCCCCTGGAGTCAGAATCAGACGTGTCTCTGTACTGAGATAAAGCCATTTCCACATCTGTCGACGCTCTGCTCCGCTTCTTCAGGGGCTTGCACGCATCAGAGATCTCGCTGGCTCCTTAAGGATCACAAGCATTTTGATGGTTTCTAGTCACAGAAGTTTAGGTTTAGAGCAGGCGCCAAAGAATACTCTCCTACCTTTCTGCGAGCCCGTCTTCAGCGTGGTCTCTGGAGCCGTCTCAGCCTATGAGAAGGTTAAAAATCAAAAGTTATTTTTAACTCGGTTGTGTTGATTTGTGTGATAACAGCTGATGCTTTCTAGGAAAAATAAGTAATTGCCTAAACAGCTTTTGAGCGGATAAAAAAAAATGCATTAACAGCTTTTTTTTTTTTTACTAAAGCTGTTGCTCAACTCATGTTTCATTTCATTTTTTTACTCATAAAGAAAATAAATAGAAGAAATAAACAAGAGGAAAACTGCAACATCTTTCATGAATGCTTTGCAACTGGTGCTATTTTTGTTTCTGACAGCAGTTTATCAAAAATAAACTCAAACCTGATCTTTTTTGGTTTTCTTCTTCGGCACGGGATCGATCCCCCTCTCTGACTCAGATCTGCTCCTGACTGACCGCCGCTGAGGTTTCCTCTCCTGAGAGCCTGAAAACATGAAATTATTGACGCCCGTCTTGTTCTGACGACCACAAGTGGTTAAAAAAAAACATTCAACCAAACATCCCGCTCGTCTGTTTTACTCTCTCACCCTGTGGACTGCTGTGGGGAGATCCAGGGGAAGAGGTCGGCTGAAGCCCTCCTTCCTCGCTCCTTCGGCTGGCGGGGGAGCCTCTCCTCTCATCGCCTTCTTCCTCTCCTTCGTCGCCCTCCTCTTCCTCCTCCTCCGGGCTGGGCTCAGGTTTAGCTCTGCTGTCCTGCTGAAAGCAACATTTGAATATGAGCTTACAAAATACAGGGCTGTGAAAAATGACTCCCGCCTTTTCAGGTTAACTTTTTGTTTTTGTCACATTTAAATGTCAAAAGAGACACGATCCCTCCAAGTGAGTTCTGGTGCCCTGGGACCTCCTCTCCTCTTTTTACTCAGAAAACCTTTAAAAGGAAGCATCTTAATCTGATGCCTGAACCACCTCAGCTGACTCTTTTTGATGAAGAGGAGCAGCAGCTCTACTCCGAGCTCCCCCCGAATGATGGAGCTCCTCCCCCGTCTCCAGGCTGAGTCCGGCTACCTTACAAAGGAAGCTCATTTTAGACACTTGTTCTTTTCAAGCATTTAGCTTGAGGGGCGTCAGGGCTTCGTCTGTTTTACGATGTCCTCTATCTCAACCTTGGGTCCACGTTTTTTTTTTATCTCTATGTAATTTTTGTAAATTTCCATAAACTACGTAAGCGGCAGAGGGGGTGACCACAATTATTTTATGAAGCCAGAGGAAGACACAAAGAATAAATTTAACCGACCTGGATACGAGTGGTGAGCAGCAACGTTACAGCTTCTGTGTGATGTTTTCATACGGCTGCCACGATTAGTTGACTAGTCGCGATTATTGCTAACTACTAAAACCGTCGACTAATTTAGTAATGGATGCGTCTTTTTTTTTTCCAATTTTGTTTTTCTCTCCAAACTGCAGCAGCACCCTCCACTGCCACGTCTGCCTTTCTGTCCTTGACACACATGCGCAGTAGTGGTAATTAGGGCTGCCACAAATGATTATTTTTACAGCTGACGAATCTGTAATTAGTCGACTATTAAAAAGATACAAAGTTAGAAAAAAAAATGACGCATCATCTTTTAAATTAGTTGTTGACGACTTTAATAGTTGACATAATCGTGACTAGTCGACTAATCGTGGCAGCCCTACTTTCAACCTCCGGTTTCGATCCGTCTGTAACCCCCTCGTAAATTTCATAAGCTTCCTAAGCGGTGGAGGGGCTGTCCCCAAAATTTTATGAAGCCAGAGGAAGAAATATAAAKAATAAATTGAACCGGCCTGGTTAGAGGAATTGTAACGATGTTAGTCTTCAAAATTCTCCTTAAAAGCCTGGTTCTTTTAGAAAAGATCCATAGTTCATGAAGACAGGTGAGGGTTGGAGCGTAGACAGACCAGTAAATCCAGAGCTTTGCCTTTCAACTAAACTCTTTCTTCACGACTGACTGATTAAGACCCACATTCCCTGGCGTGTGGCAAAACCTGACTCGCTTTATTTATATTACTTCTATTCTATTGTTTTTATTCTTTTTTTTTTATTAGTTTTAAATGTTCTTTGGTGGTACGTGTACAGCACTTTGGTGGTGGTTTTAAAGTGCTTTAAAGACAAATTAGTAGTGGTCACTGCTGAGGTCCTGATTTGTCGATCCATCTCGTTACATCAACAATGAACAAGCCGCTCAGACACTTGAACGCGTCCCCCTGAGGTTGTTTTGTCTGATATTAAGATTTGTTTGCTGATTTGAAGCCTTTAAGTGAGACAAAACATCAAAAACAGAAAGCACCTGTAGTGGGGTGAGCACTGCATCTCTGAATACGCTTCTGTCCGCACCGAGTTACACCTACCTCAGGCGAGCAGTAGCCCAGATCGGGCTGCCGGGCCTCCCTCTCCACTCTCTCTTCCTTCTCCTTCTTTGGAGACACCACAGTGGTCTTTTTCTGCAGGAGAGGCCAGTCGCACTTTGTGATCTCCACATTCAGTCTCTTCATGGTGATGGAGAGGGGCAGMAGCTTCCTGGCTGCCGCCGTTTTCCAGGCCCTGACAGGCGGCTTCGGCGAGTCCTCCTGAACTCGAGCATCGGCGCCGGAGTTCTGTTTAGGCGACTTGTTTTGGTTCTTGTCTTCGCTTGGCGGTTGAGAGTTGTTGTTGTTTTCCTCCGTGTTGGAGATGCTGCACTGCCTCCGTGGCAGCTGCCTCCGCGGCGGCTGCTCCCTGTCGGGCGACTTCACGCCGGTGTCCTCCTTCTTGCTGATGGAGCCGCTGGAGCRCCGGTTCCGTTTCTCAGCCTTGGCGGCGGGCTTCTTGCTGGGCGGGGCTTCGTTGGGGTCCGGGTCAACGTAGATGAAGGTGTAGTTGTCTATTCGCTCCTGGCGAGTCATGAGGAAAGCGTCCTCGGCGTGGCCCACCCCTACTTCCCACTGGGAGCGCTCTCGCTGAGGAATTGGCTTCAGAAGCTGCAGATGGGAAAAAAAATTAATATATACTGTATTTATTTATTCATGCATAATACTAGAAATTTAACCCTAAAAATCATCCACAGAATAGGGGGGTAGTATTATACACAAGTTATTGATGATTAGATTTTTGATGCTTTTTAATCTCAAACAATTATGATCGTATTATACATGAATAAATAAGGTAAGTTACTTTTCCAGTGACTCCTTTGGAAATAATTGAATAGAAACATTTAAAAAATATATATRTTTTTTACATTTTGAGTAAAAATGTATTGTATATTTTTTACACACTTTTTGTCTTTCTACAGGGTTTGAAGTTTTGCGCAGCGTCTCTGACTGAAGCTCATCGAACTGTTGCTTCCCCTGGTACGTGACTATCCTCTTCTCATGGATCCACGCTCGCTCAGCAACACTGCCGAAGAACTGGACGTGATATTCTCTGTGACCTATCAGAGAGAAGAACGTGAGTTATATGATGAAAAACTTACAATGGAAAAGAAAAAAAGGCTCATTATAAGAGACGTCATGCTTTTAAATCCTTCTTTTTCATATTAAACCCTTCAGTTGGGGTCTATATGAAGTGGAACTGCAATGCTTTGGCCTAAATTCCTCCTTATTGCGACTCCACAAGCCCCTTTTTCTCCCCTATTCTTAAGTGTGTCTCAAATTAACTTGTTCATGTATGTCAAGAAGGGAAGACTTGTCCATCCAGCCTTACATGTTGGAGCCAGAGTCTGACCCAGAACCAGAGTCTGACCCAGAACCAGAGTCTGACCCAGAACCAGAGGAGAATGAAGACAAGGAAATTGCAGTTGGCAAGTCCAGATCTTATTTGTGACCCATCATATCGAAAAGAGGATTAAGTTAAATTTGCTCAAAATGACCTAATTACATTTTCAAATTATTGGCTTTAAAAGCTACATTTTGACACCTGGATCATTCTGATATCATAAGTGGATCCAGAAACATGACTTAATTTGTTGTGTTGGTTACAATAATACATTACTGTTTGGTCTGAATCCTAATTTTATATAAATTTATTG